GACAGCTTGCTAGGTTTTGGAGTGGGGCCTGAATAAAAGTCTCCATAGGTCTCCTCAAAGAACAGATGTGGGACACGTGACAGAACATACAGAGCACAGACGTCAGGAAAGCTGAGTCAGTGCAGACAGAGGGAAGCAGTAAAGTCATCCGGATTTGGGTGACTAAAAACAGACTCCCGTGCTCTACTTCCTGAGGGTGTGAAGGGGCCAATGGAAGGGGGATCCCAAATGTAGGTCTCCAACACTCTATTGTTTAAGCAATTGTAAGAAACAACACGTGCAAGTACCCTTGTGTTAAAACACTCAGCAAATGAAAGATGTTTTTTTTTTTTTTAATAACCCATGAACATTTCTTCCTAAAAAAAAATAAATTAAAATATATATTTCAGAAGAGTCTAATCTGTTTCAAAAAGTTAATTTTATAGTAAAAGTAAAGTCTTTAAAGGGGTCATGAACTGAATTTTTTATTATTTTGTACTGTTCTCTGAGACCCACTTATAATTTTATCAAGATTTTTACATCAAAAAACATAATTTAGAAGTATTAGGCTATTTTCTGTCCTGTTTTGACCCCCCTCATCGGAACACTCTGTTTGGATGGGCGTGGGCGGATTGTAGACTCGGAAATAAACGCCCACTGCTATGTTTGGCTAACAGTTGTGTATGTATGACAGCTAACATCCTTCACAGATGGATGCTGCTGTGATTTAGGTTAAAAACGCATAAATACTCAGTACATATCAAACTATCTGTAATAACAGACAAAGCAATAGTGACCACATTATTAAAACAGTTACTCACACTTGTGTGGTGCGACATTACTGTCGGACACAATATAGTCTGCACAGCAACGTCTTTTAGTTTCAATCTTTCTGAAAATCCTCCGTCAAATTGTGCTTTGTATGTAAACGAATCCGCCATAAAATCAAGTGAACAAAGGACCAAGTTTGTACTGACGCGGTCTGGAACTTCATCATTAAAAAAAGTTAATCCTCTCTTTCCTAATGTTGGGATCAGAAGGAAAGTGATGCACATACTGTGTTTTTCCACAACTTGCCACTGCACAGTGTCTTGTTGTCTTCGGATTATCTTTTATCGTTTGGCTTCCGTGTAGACCTTAGTTAGTTAGTTACATGTGCAAATCGGTGGGTAGGGCTAAACAGGCAGTGATGTAGAAGCAGGCGTTGATCTTCCTCTGCAGAGACGGTGTTTAGCCACACTATTACGTCATAAAGTGGCACATTCCACAACCTGTCGTTTTGGCAGATTGGCTTCAATTTAAGCTGTTTTTAGACTAACAAGTTTTTTTTTTGAGTTCTGTACTTATAGTACAATGACCTCTTATATGTCAAAAGATCAAGGGATTTTTAATTTCTCATGTTCATGACCCCTTTAATGGACAGTAATTGTCATTGGATCATACTCTTAATTTTTTGTTACTGTTTTAAATTCAAGCTTAGACTGGAGAAGGTTTACTGGCAAAAACACTGCGATTGATCTATTGGGAATCACATTGTCTTATTTCACAGCTCTCATATGGAAAAGCATCGTATCCGGTGACTGTTTACTCTTGCTGGCTGTTCAATAGCTTCTCCATGTGCATGTAAAACCAGACACACTAAAGTCTATAAAACAAGAGCATTGTGCAAGAAGCAGTTGAGGTGTTTGTGGCCACCTGGTTGAATGCACGTGCATTTTTTGGCCTTCCTTCTCCGGAGCTTCTGTGGTCCATTGTTTGTTCCAACGGAGTCCGTGATCACTCCACCACAAGCAGGAAAACATTACTTCCACTGTGGCTCATTCTTAAACGCTTATGGATATCCTATCCCAGTGTAGAGAGCTGTCCAGCCTGCTGAGGCATAATTCATTATTTGGCTACTGTGTATTTTGTCCTGCCCCCTGCTCTGTACATTAATATCATTGATGCCGGCTGTATTTTGGGTGCTCCTGCCCTTGTGATTAGTTTTCCCTTTTAAGCAAGACTGTCCATGGTAGGAACATACTGTTTTCTTTCATGTGCCTCATGTTGCGGCTTTGGGCCTTACCGCGACCTTAAGGCAAGCTGAAATTACTGTTCAGTCTCATGTAGGCCATGTGCTTAAGGACATCCCTCCTCCATTTATCACGAAGCTCTCATTCAGCTCCTGGACAGATGTGGCTCTTCAGGTCAACAGCTCATGGATTGCTTACATTGATGTTCACATTGGGCCTTTGTGATTACAAATGACTCCCTCTTGTAGAGTAGACTTAGCAAACTGACCCCTCTGTCCTAACCTTGTGACGATTGCACAGAGCAGATGTTCTCACTTTACTCTTAATTTCCTCTCGCTCTGCACATGGTGTGGCTCCAGGCGGGGCATGAAGATGGTTTAAAGAACATCTAATGATTCCCTGGCCTTTTAGTGCAAACCAAAGCTCAGTTTTAGCTCAAAGTTGGATCGGGACAAATACCACACACGCGTCTCCTCCCTTTTGTCATTGGGAGAGTTCTTGTGTCTTTTTTGTTGCTCTTTATGGACTGCCTGCGGAGACCTAAGGGTTCATTCATATTCAGATTTAAGCTATTCATTTTCACGTGGATCCTTCGCCAGTGCAAAAAAGGTTTTGCAATGCATGCTGGGACTGCCTGAAGCATCACGATGGTCCATAATTGCTACTTTGGCAATTTTCCTTCAATGGGACCCCTCCCATGGCCCTCTGTCAGGGCTTGGATAATTGTATTATGCTTCTCTTTTAGTTTGGGTCATGTAGAGCGGTTTTGCCACCTCACAAAGCTCAAACATCTGCTATCTAGGCTGTGCAGGTTTCTGTGTTGATGTAATGCCGCATGCCCTCTCTGGCTCTCCTACTCTTCTCTTTTACTCACAAGTCTCTCCCAGGCCTCCGCCCAGAGCCCAAACCTCCATGAGATGGACTCTATATTTTTTGGGTTTCATTCTCGGTACAATTTGTGGAGCGCCAGTCTGTTCTGTTCAAGATTTAGTTTGGAGTGTTAATATTAATACTTATGGGTTAGTATATTATCTTCATAATTCTTAAATAAAGGCTCTGTTCCCAAACTTAGTGAGCTGCTTTGCTGTCTAACAGCAATTTGCAGCAAGAAAGTTAAGTTATTCATTTTCAATGAGAGTATATTATTTATTTGGAGTGAAGGCAGCTATTAAGAGTTCTGTGCAAGTTAGTTTTTGCAAATTAGAAGTGACATGATGTGGTTATTACCAATAGGACTTTGTCTGATACAGTTGGTTGTTGCAGTTGATTAAAACACTTTTACTTTATATGTTACTGATTTGAAACACTCTACATAGGTAGCTTTGTGTGCCATACAAATACCCCTATTCATGTAAACCACACAGGAGACTCACAATTCGTTTCAAGAGTTTAGCATTAGCGTTTCGCAAGTAGCAAATAATGCAGCTCTCCAAGCATAAAAATACTTGGATATTATAATCGATAAAACTATTTTTAACCTGTTCTTTTATATGAATTGAATTGTTTATATTGGACCCAGCTTTTTCCACCATATTAAATGGATATATTTCATTGAGTTTGTTGTTGTGCCTTCTGGGATTTTAGAATGCAACACATCATCCACACACTTTTAGAACTGCCTACAATGCCTTAAAATGCTTTCTTCGTAGGCAGCTTGCAAGATTTTGGAGCCAAAGTGTCGTAATATGGCCTTTCATTTGTGCTATTTACCCTTTTCTGTGAGCTGAAAAAGTGAAATTTTCTTAAGCATCCAAGCATATGCTTGTCACATCAGAGATGGCAGTTTTGTCATGGTCATTAAGAACATGCATATCAATTAAGTAAAACAGAAATTCCATTCAACCTTGGATCTCCTTATCATTGTTCTAGACACACACCACTAGCTCCCCGTGAACCTGATGAATCCAGACTTTTATGCATATTAGAGGAGGGGAACTACATGCAACATTTCCCTCACAATCAGACCTATTATTAGTGGTGGTTTTGGAAAATTCCTCGGTAATGATTGTTGAAAAGTACAGACTGTGAGGAAACTGGGAGGTGGAACAAAATGGGTTGAAATTAGCACTGTTTTTAGGCAATGTGTAGTCCAATTTATTTAGAGCTGATCACTCACTCTGGAGAGTGTCAGTCTGTATAGTGTCTACAGCAACATCTACTGAAACTATGTCTCATGCCCTACAAATGTGAACTGAGACTGCTGCTCTTGTCTTTTTTTTCCTCAAATGAATCATTTACAATTACATCATTGTTACAGTGCCCACCGGGTTATAGAATCGAATGGCCCACTTTTCTATTGTTTACTGCCCTGGAATTTATGGAGAACGAATCTAATTACGGATTATTTTCTTTCAGAAGATATTTCCTGTTTGTTTTCTATTAAGAATCACAACATAAGTGTAATGGTCCTAGACAGTTTACACTGAGGAATTTGCTCAAGTTCTATCGACGACAATGCGTCCATCATAACTCAACAGACTATGCTCTGATGGAATGTGGCTTAAAAATGGATCACAGGTCCGTTGTGCACTGCAGGGAATAACAATGGTAAATGCATAAATAGAATGCAACTAACTATATACTAATGCATAGTTAAACTGGCCTTTTTAAGAGTCTGTTTTAATAATGTTGTGCAGTGCAATTGCCTGCAGAAATGTATATTTATACATGTATTTAATGTAATTTTATGTAATATTATCGATATTAATACACTAATTGTAAGGACATTTCTTTGTTTATTTATATTTGAATAGCAATTTTGGTACTGTGTTGGGTCACCACTTTGTGTCCGATGTAAAATCTAAACCATGCATTGCCTGTCCTCTTATCGGAGAACGTCGCAAGGGTGCTCTCAATTTAGGATGAAATATTTTAATAGGGTCTAGATGGTTGAAGTAAATCGCTTGTACAGATTCAGCAGAACAGTGCAGAGAGGTGCCTAACTGCAAACGAAAGCTTTGCTTTGTTAAATAATCTTTTAAAGCCTGAATATTCTCTCTCTCTTCTCAGTTATGCTCTGGCAGATGAGGCCTACCGGTCCCTGCGGGAACAAGATAACGACCAGTGCATTCTCATCACTGGAGAGAGCGGAGCAGGAAAGACGGGTAAAACCACTTAAAATGCTTAAACACGAGTCAAGCTAATCAGGAACTAATTAACATTAGTGATTCTTAAAATGTTATATTTCTTTCATAATTGTGACACTAGCTGCTTTCTTGATGGTTTGAACAGTTTGTAGGATTTTGTAACTGTTATTTCTCATTCCCTTGCACTCATTAATTTAATCCACTCATTCTTCCAATTGATCTCTTTAACAATGCTGTCAACGGATGCTTCACCAATTATGCACTCTGATGGTACTTACTCCAATTACATTTTACAGTAGTTCCAATGCATTTTCTTTGTGGTATAAGCAGACATATGTCATAGACTGAATAGATTGACATTGGTATGGTTATGCAAGTTGGATTCATCTGCAATCTAAAGTAATGATTTAGATTAAATTAGTTTTGCGGGCTAACATACCTCTTTGAAGTGTGCTGTCCATCTGTGTTGGAGCTTTTTCAAAAATTGCATTTCGATTCTTCGTGTCAAACGGTTCATCTGGTGTTGGGAATCAGATCAAAATCTACAAATGGTGAACAGGTGCCGTGTTTCTGATAATTTATGAGCCAATCATAAATGTATCAGCATTTTCATTCGGCTCCCATCCGGTGTTTTCATATGAATACAATCTCATATTCTCCCTTTTGAGATATCACATAGAGCACTTTGTGTTCTGAATTGCAAATTGCTAATTGATTAGAAACGTTGTGTAATTAAGTTGTGCCTGCCTATCAGTCTTTATGAATGACTTACAGATTTTAAGAAGTATTTTAAAATTGGGAAAAGTAAATACACATTTTATTTTAGTTTTTGAATTGTAAGCATTTATCTAACAAGCAGGTATAGTATTGTGATTTTCTGACTAAACATTTGTTCGAGTTCTCTTCATGTCAGATCAACTCTGTCATGTTCTTTTAGAAGAAGATCTTTTATTACTTTATGAATGCTGAAGATTAACCACAGCCATTTAGCAGTAGTCAAGTCACCTTTATTTATAATATAGCGCTTTTAACAATACAGATTGTGTCAAAGTAACTGTACAGCATTAATTAAAAATTAAATTAATTAAAAATAGTGTGTCAATAATGTAAAAAGACAATAGTAAACACTCAATTTTCAGTTAAAGGCAGTTCATCATTGAATTCAGTGACGTCATCATCCAGCTCAGTTCAGTTTAAGGAGTATCTGTGCAATCAAGTCGACCATATCGCTTGATATTAAGTGGCCCCAACTAAGCAAGCCAGAGGCGACAGTGGCAAGGTACCAAAACTCCATCAGTCACAGAATGGAGAAAAAAACCTTGGGAGAAACCAGGCTCAGTCGGGGGGCCAGTTCTCCTCTGTACAAAACTGGACTTCTCTTGGTTTAAAATGGTCATCTTACTGTGCCAACCGTTCAAATCTAGGACATCCAACAGTCAAGGCAATGAGATAAATGGGGATTGTGGTAATCCACACACTACAGAGCAAGGGCTGATGAAAATCATTAACTGTTAGTCAAGGGTTACTCTTTTAATTTCAAAATGCTCTTCTGTACTAATGAAAATGTACCCCAGCTCAGAAATAAATGAAATTGGGCTCTTTTATTTAGTGTTCAGGTCCTGTGCTTAAAGCTAGATGTAATGAGGAGTTATAGCATAATTTTCTATCCGCTTGATTATCGCTCTGCCATCTCTTCATGTATTAGGTTTGATCAAAATGTTTCATACGTTAAGACCTGTGAATTGAGCAGAGTCCAAAAATAGCCGTAAATCTCTAAAACATAAGTGGGTGTCCTTGCCTTCAGAAAACATTTCATGTCAGCACTTCTGTGCACAAGTCACTGCTCTCAGGTCCAGACATGGAAAAGTCATTAAGCGTCGAACACGATAAATCTTACACAGCCATTAGTGCCAAGTAAATTAAAATCATTCCATGTAA